GATTTTAATTCGATGCCACTGTGACATAGATTTGTCACTCATTATCGACAGTAAATACTTGCCCACTTTGTGGATGCTGAGAGCCCACTCAACGTAGGAAAAATGGCTAACTGTAACATTTTTGGAAACACTCCTCCATATTTTGAACCAGAATTGTGTCGGCGCACATTTCATGGAAGATGATTCCTTCAACTTAAAGGTCAAGAGTGAAGTAATTTTTGCAAATCCAAAACAAAATATTTTTATGTCACAAGTAATTGACCAAAATACCTTAAATAAAGCATGAAAAAATGATTTCTATTTCGTTAATTTGACAGAGAAATCCTTTTCCAAGATTGAAATCCTGACGAGCGACAAACCCGGAAGTGGGACGTCATTTAAACAGAAACAATGGCCTAGCCAGTCGCTCACAACACTTTTGACTTCATCGTCACTTTCAAACTTGGTGCCAACTACTGTGAACTGCTGAGGCAAGGTCAAGAAAGACATAAAGAACAAATGTAGGGGTCAACAGTCAGAAGGACTCTTGCATCATGAAAACGCAAGGCCTCACACAGCAGTCCAAACGATGCAGACCATCAACGAGCTGGGATGGGAACTGCTCCCTCATCCCCTTAACAGCCCAGCCCTGCCCATTCAGACGTTCACCTGTTTGGTCCCTTAAAAGCGTTCACAAGAGGCACAAAGTTTGAAAGTAACGATGACGTCAAAAGTGTTCTGAGCGACTGGCTGAGGCATCAGTCCAAAGATTTTTATGCTGAGGGAATATGGAAGCTTGTGCACAGATGGAAAAAGTGTGTGACAGTGCTGGGAGACTACGTTGGAAAAAGAAAAAAGTAAACTTTTATCTTTATTAGAAGTCCTTGTACCGAAAAACTCACTTTATTTATTGAATGACCCTTGTAACTTATGATTCAGACAACAAAAATACTCCTGTCTGGGTGCTCAGACATTTGTGTGGATTGATCTTTTTTTTGTTCGCGTAACCTGTTAGATTCAGATTTCTCGTGGCCTGTCTGTAGCTTGTTTGTGTGTCATATGTCTGAAAAGTGTGTCTATTCATGGCGGGCCACCAAGGCACGTGTGTGTTTGAACAGAGGTTGTGTGGTTGAATGCTCTAGGGAAAACATATGCTCGTGTTGACTGTGGGAGGGGGTGTAGGAAGTGGCTGTGGTGGTGAGGGGCAGGTGGCGTGTGTTGGGTCAGGGGTCTACAACTGTTGATTGGATGGTACACTGACATAGAAGGGGGGGATCTGATGCTTTGAGAAACCACATCAAGCAGTTGTCGGATACGTGTGATGGAGTCATCAGGCAGCATGGGAAAAAAATGTGGAAGCTCAAGTCTCCATACAATGAGCACAGATGGGATTGGCATGATGTACAAGTGAAATTGTAGACAGCAAAGAGGAACAATTATTGAGGTTACAGATTGTTGGGGGGCTCTTAATTGATACTGCCATGAAAAAAAAAGAAAAAAAAACACTTAAAGGCCTACAACTTCAATGTCGCAATTTGAACATACTGTACAGTACAATTCTGTGAGAACAAATAAATATCAGTGTGGTTCCTCTCTTAAAGGACCTATAATGTTCAGATGGCCGATATTCCACTAACATGTACACTATGTATTGTTTGCTGAAGAAAACGTCATCAATATGACATCTGTAGATATATGCAATATAAATATACTGTATGCATTTCAACGGGTGTCGCTTACATACAGATTTTCGATATTTGTAGGCTGGCCTGGTCCCTACTCCCCGCAAATAACCGGGATGCAGTGTATGCAAATATATGCTGTCGTCATATTTATTTTTATTTTGTCTTTATTAACATTTTCGGTGTCGGGAGTAATCCAAAAGTAGACTTTACAACTATCTGATCGAGTGTATCAAAATTGGTCGATACTTTGCAATTTATGCAAAATTATTGACTGCCATGTCATAATTTGCCTGATCTAGCATGGATTGGTTCCGCTAAATAAGACATGACAACAAACACACGCTTGTTCAGTCCGGGGTCATTCTGTGCTGCCGTCGTGCATATGAGAGCCTGGATGCGAATCTCATTTTTGCCTTTTCTCGAGTCATTACATAAACTTCTGGTTTTAACTCTTTCATGCACCCTGTAACCTAATAACATGACAAGCTGTCCACTATAGCCATTGTGCTTTTAAATATGATTTCAACGAATAAGCCATTGACGGCAGTATGCAAAATGAAGTTGACAGTACTCTATGACAATTGATCTTTCTGATTGGCTGTTAGCTCGTGAATCAGTGCATCATAGAAGTAGACTATGAGGTAGTACTTAAAAACCAAGCCGAGGCAAAGAAAATGGCATTGTCTAGAAAATAATCATTGCTTTTTACATAGACTTGCTTGTTTATGAGTGTGGCGGGCCTGATTCGGGATATGTGTACGTTTTATTTCATGAAACCATGACTGTGGAAGGTATGATGAAGAATGACTCGCACGTGCACCACCCAACCTTGACCATCCCTCATTGGCATGTTTTTTTCTCACTGGCCAATCCACTGAAATGGTGCTGGCTATGCCCCTGACCAATAGTTAATTCATTTAGGGCAATGGTTCTTATTCTTGTTAGAGGTATTGAACCCAACAAATTCATATGAATATTCATCAAACCCTTCATTAGTGAAAAATAAAAATATGATTTTTTTTTTTTTTGTTTATGAATTCAACTCGTAAAAAACACATTTATCAAAGACTAAAAAAAAGTACCGGTAAATACAATTTCTAGACATAAGTATATGTTTTTTTTAATTGTGCACAAAATCAACCGTGCATGACGTACTATCACGACAGTCACACTTTGACGATTGAGCGAACTAAATTTCCCGCAGCACTGATTGGACAAACAATGTAAGGTGATCATCTGCAGCCAGTGATGGCCAGGTGGGTGTGTCATAGCTAATTGACATGCTGAGTCGGGTGTGTCTTAACCTCCAGAACCCCTGAGACTGATTTCGGGCAGTGTTCGTCCTTGCTTGCCATATTGTGAGTGTGAGGGGGCCTGGCAAGCAGAATAATAATCTATTTGTGTCATGATTCGGTTTGGGACCAACAGGTGGCACTGTAGGGCTCTCCCTGCAGATGCACACCTGTTGGTCATTATGTAATTAGTGTTTTAAAAGGACTCCCAGCCCGAACACTCAGTGTCGGGTCATTGTTGCTCTTTGCTACTGTCATGTTTGTTTGTTGCCGTTTGTCTGCTGCTGTCAGGTTTGTTTTGGTCACAGTTCTGTTCTAGCTTCAGTTGTGATTTTTGTTTGCTACTTTGGACTGTTTGTTTTGGATTTAGTTTTCTGTTTCAATACACTTCTTCAAGTACAACCTGCTCCTTCTTCCTGCCTGCTTTCTGGGGTCCACCACCACCTTGCAAAGTGATAATTTGTGTAATCTATTTGTGCCAGTGTGACCAGTAAATCTGACGATTATTTTTTTAAATGACTCCTCTTGAATAATTTTTTTGCGACTGACAAACTTCTGCTCGTATTTTAGGCCATTTTTTCGCAATATAGTGAAATTAAATGAATATTTATTTTGCAAGTTAATTTCAGGTGTGTTCCACTAAATGATACTCTGACCCTAAAATTTCCGCTAAGGGGCCACTGTGGTCCTAGTAAAAAAAAAAAAAAGTTAGCCTGGGGCCCTGCACCAAGTCTGAAGCAGCAGTACTTGTTCTGTACTCATTACTTGTATTTTCAAATAAGTACCGTCTTTTCCGCACGATAAGGCGCTTCGGAATATACGGCGCACCTTCAATGAATGGCCCATTTTAAAACAGTTTTCATACATAAGGTGCACCACATTATGAGGCGCATAGAACAAAAGCTACAATATAGGCTGCAGTTATGCATCTACTAGATGGAGCGATGCTAAAAGGAATACAATACGATGCAATCCAGCTTTATTTATATAGAGCTTTCACAACCGCTGTAGCTGGAACAAAGTGCTTTACAGAACATTTAAGATTCTATGTCCAAGAAATCTGAATATTGATCCATATATGAGGCGCATCGGATTTTAAGGCGCACTGTTGGCTTTTGAGAAAATTTAATCGTTTTTGGTGTGCCATATAGTGCGGAAAATTCCAAAGTCTATTCTGTCTTGTTTTACTAAATATACAGTGCATAATTAACTTGAATCATGGTTTGTGGCCATCATGTATTGAAAAGTTGTTGTTGACGGATTGTCATGCGCCGAAAAGCAGTCAGCGACGGGGTGTGGCAGTAACATGCTCAAAAACAATCGTCGGTAGAGGGTGGGAGTTGGGCGAGATGACCAGGACCAGCCCATAAATACACTGGCCGTTCGGAAAAGTTAACACATTTTCCTGAAATTCCCATTGGGCACAACCCCTGGCTCATGACGGGGCCACTTTAGCTGTAAAGTCATACTTTTAAAATAAAGACATTGTAGGCCCTTGTTTTATCATAGACTTGAAAAGTGAGATATGGTGTATTGAGGTGAAGCATGGAGGCGACATATACTACAGCAGTAAATCCTTAAAATATGGATTTGTGTGGATGAGCTTCATGGAGTGATTTGGTTCTGTCAGCTTTGCATCATGTGTTGCGCTAGCTATTTTTGATTATATCTGTTTGTTCATAATATTGTATTAAGGCGAAAGAGCTCCAACTCGCTATTGCATTAGTTGCTTCGACAAGGAATTGATTATCGCCATACGTTGACCTGTGTAAAAATTTTGGTGTCAATCACCACGGAGGTATCTCTTGGTATTTAGTTTGCTGATGGAATTACATTGCTGTGTGCAGCGTCATTTGTGCCTAAACCATTGTCCTGTGTCTCATGAGGGGGGCTCAAAGTGTTCTCGTCATTCATTTCTCAGTGTAATTGTGCAATTTAATAGAAACACCATACAGCATCGTTATTTATTGAGCACAACAGCTGCAGCTTACAAACTAAGACAAAAAAAAATGTAACTTGAACTAAATGATCTCTCTTTTTGCAGGCTTTTATGGGGACCACTCACTAGAGCCGGAAAATAATGACAGCATGGGTAAGTCATTCACCTACCTACCTACCTATCCATCTTTCCATCAATCTAGCAAGAGCAATCTTTTTAATCACATCTCGACTGCATAGTGCTAGCCATCAATTAAGGTTCATCTAAAGTTGGGCTGCTTTTCTCCAGTTTTACAACAATAGAAACACACCTTCCATTACAAAAGGTCCACGGCAGCCCAGGGCTTCACCCATCCGTGAGCATGATAAATTTACTGACTGAGTAACACTTCCTCGTGATATCCACAAGAGGGGAGTGTACACTCAAAAACAGTTCTCCCTCTTGCACAGGTCAATCCCCATATTCTTAAACAGAGAACGGAAAAGGCACCTGAAGTAAAAGAATGTAAGGCAGTCACGACATTGATTTATTATTGTGCCAGTGTCAGGAAAACTAATGTCACCAATGTACTAATTGTTTGCTCTCTTATCATATAGTCAACATAATCACTGCAAGTGCAAACCTACATTGACAGGCCAAGAGTGCTGAATCAAAAGATGCCAGAAATATGCCCCTTCTCAGGAAGAGACTTGGAACAAAGAGGCAGGGGTGAGGTGATGGTCCAATGTTAAGGTCCAGGTTCAGGCGAAGTTCACCCAGGACTCCCATTGCTGCCATTGCAGCGCCAGGTGGCACGTAGGAAGGGTCAGAGGTTGAACACAGTTCAGAAAACGCTGACCCCGACGTGACTCGCTGCTCCGATTGTCTGCAGCTCTCCTCGGGCCTTTCTCAATCGCTCCCTCTATAAACTTGTGAGAAGAGAATCGGAGGGGTCGAGGTGAAAAAGTGGAAGCGAGTCCGAGAAGAACTATTGAACCTGCACAACGAGTGAATAAGCAGCATTGTTGTGTACAGCAGGAGGAGTCGTGGATTTATGAGGCCAAACCTGATGGGGTTGTAAACTTGACGAGTTGGGCTTGTGGCCGTGGCGACTCACTGGCTTGCTTGCTATTGGCCCTATTCTACCCTTAGGATGCCTCAGTGCATGCATCGGGTAAGGGTGATGCTCAGGTCAAGGGGGGCTGAGGCAGGCCTTGTAAATGTTCTAACAGGGGTGGGAATTCAGAGACCCCCATTCAGTGACCAGAAACCTAGGTCAGGGGCCAAATAGCTGCGTTAGCAACAGCTGTTTTCAGCACTATCTTGTTGATTCGGTTCCAATCATCGAAAGCCTCATTTCTGTCATTTGTTTTGGGACCCTGTCTTATCAGATTTGACCCACGATACTTGAGATTGATGGTAAGTGATCTTAGGTTTTTATTTTAAATTGACTGCACTGAAAATGGTTTAAGCTGTTTTAGAAAAACTCGCTCCACCTGGTTTCATGGAAACTCAAATATACTGTAATTCAGTCATCACTTAACATATTCAAATGTTAGGTAAAATTTCATTCGAATGAAAATCAGACAGTGGTTACAATATAGCTTTTTACGCTGTATTTTATTTTTATTTTTTTGCATGGACTCTGGAGACACACACACACACACACACACACACACACACACACACACAGTTGCATGGTTATCAAGCTTCTTTGGTGACTAGTTATGTTCCATTGTTAATCATTACCAAGCAGCTGCCTATTCCACAACACTGAAATACTTTCCCACCAAATATACTGTAATTCAGTCATCACTTAACATATTCAAATGTTAGGTAAAATTTCATTCGAATGAAAATCAGACAGTGGTTACAATATAGCTTTTTACGCTGTATTTTATTTTTATTTTTTTGCATGGACTCTGGAGACACACACACACACACACACACACACACACACACACACACACAGTTGCATGGTTATCAAGCTTCTTTGGTGACTAGTTATGTTCCATTGTTAATCATTACCAAGCAGCTGCCTATTCCACAACACTGAAATACTTTCCCACTTCCATTTTCTCCTCCGTCAATAATTTCACACATATGTGTGATGACATAATTGCACTGCACTATTGCATACAGTGTGCGTACATCCTGGGAAAATGTGTGTCATGGTTTACAATCATGAATTTGCAAAAAGAACACTTCTTTCATGCCTGACGTTAGTGACTTAAATGATACTGCACAATATTTCCTATATTATTATTTATTCTGGAGTGATTTCTTTTTTTTTTTTAACAATGAAATCATTGTTCATCTGCCAAATAAGTGCCGCTTCAGCTGCTGACAAGGTAAGGGCTCCTGCTGCACGACACGTTCCAGGCCAACAGAGGGCGTTAAAAGCATGCTGGATGTTATGTCTGCGCCCACGTGCCACCTGGACCCGATGAACTCGACATCCATATGGAAGTATTTGGCTGTAACCCAGCTCAGGCTTTCCCTTTGTCTCGTATATCTGGGTTGACTTTTTATGTTTGAGTCCAAAAGTCATTCGAGATCACCAGGTTTTCATTTTCCAGGGAACAAAGCAGCAGAGTGTTCGAATGTTTTTGACAGCGCTTTCACTTTTTGCTTCACGACGCCCTCCCCCCCTCCCGCCCTGCCAACAAAATGTATTTTGTATGTTTTCACTTGTCTGAGTAGAATGTTTTGAAGTCTAAAACACTTTTACTGGTATTTTTCTTGAACAGATTCTTCTGTCAGTGGTCTCCCATGTCTCTTTCTCTCACCTTGTGCATGGAATGTAGTATGAGTGAAGTATAGAGTGCCCCCATGCTTTCTTTTGATTTCAGCCTTTTAGAAATTTATGGTTATCCTAGTTGTTAGTCACCCAACTCTTTTGTTCGATTGGTGCCCGTTGAGTTGGCCTCGGGGGTCATCCTGTGGAGTGTTTCCGGGTTCAGAGACAAGTGGGTCACGCTGTTCCTGTGTCATTGCCTCGAACATTAGAATTTGTCAGGACAAAGCTGCAAGTCCGTGGGGATACACATGCAGATTTGTGTGTGGCCCTAATGTATGTAGCGACAGTACCTCTTGTCACACCCAACTTTAGAGTTGGAGTACTTTCCTGTGCTGTGATTTCAGTTTTACAGTAATATAATCCAATATATATCCGCTAAGTCTCAGCAATCCCCTCAACCGTTCTTCTGTTTTGTCTGTCATTTTCCCTAAATTTGACAAATTCCATCCATCCATTTTCCCAACCGCTTATCCTCACGAGAGTCGCGGGCGTGCAGGAGCCTATCCCGGCCGTCATCAGGCAGTAGGCGGGGCACACCCTCAACTGGTTGCCAGCCAATCACAGAATTTTACCAGTTGAATTATATATTGAATGACTTATATATATTACTGTATACATTGTATGATATAGGCATTTTTTTCCCAGGTAAACTAAATATCATTCTTCAAAATCAGAATCAGTTAATTTCTATCTAAGATTTCTGACAGACGATTGTTAGCACCTCCCACTTGGTTGCTATTATTAAATTCAGAAAACAGAAAAAAAAGAGAATATCTTGTGCCACGACTGCAGGGGCTGTCCCCCCACTCCCCACCCCACCTCTCCCCTCGTAGTGTTTATCTAGCCTTTATGGGACAATTAGTCAAAGATTATTACCATATGCCTATAGGTCCTTCATGTAGTGCAAAACGAAGACTGACTTTTTATCGGTTCAGGTTCTTATCTCCGTCATTGAAGTTCTCCCTGAACAGTATATAACTTAAGCAAGCATGACATGTTAATATAGGGATATGAAATTCAGGGAATGTTTTTAGTTCAGGAAAAATATGTTCTGCTTTCATGTAAGACTAAGGCATGTACACATCTGCTGCAGTTGATTAGTTTCATCTTGCGTAAGGTAGCAGACAACATGGCTAACCAGAGTGATTTGGCGGTTTCGTTTGGAATTCAACTGTTAAGTGGAAAGCAATTTCCACTTTTTAAAAAAAAAAAGTTTTTAAGTTGTAATTTTACAAATTTAAAATGAATAGGTCTTGGTGGGAATCCTGTTATAGGCCGAAGATCCACAAACATGCGTCAATTGATTCTGCAGTGGGCACAAAACAAAAATACGAATAGTAAGTATCATCTGCAACAAACTCGGTTCACAAAGATTTAAGGAATACATCAGGAAGACATCTAGTTACGTCCCATTTAGAACTTGGCTTTGATAGCGTCCAACTCTTATATTGAAATAAGAATGTAGCTTGATGCCATCAAATGAATGCAATGTGAAGCATGTGATAGTCTTTATTTATTTTTGAAAAATCCATCAGAAAAGTTTTAGGAATGTTTGTTGACACTCTTTGGTCTTCATTTGCATTGTTGAACTCTTACAAGAAACATGTCTTGTTGAACACCAATCACAGTCGAGTCGGTCTCACAGCAGATAAGACAAAATGTGTTCCTAATTACGAGCAAAAGCAAAGAGCACTGAACTCAATCAAGTTCCACATTTTCATTTTTGTGCTTTAAAGGAGGTAGGGCCACCACTCTATTCCAATCTATGTTCTATCCATATTGTTTCATCGTTGCATATTGTCAGAATTTGTGTTCGGTGTCATCTCCTCAGCCTCTCTGAGACAGTTTACCGCAGTTTGCATTCATTGATCAGTGAGTTATTCTCGTGTCAACCCACCGACAGCAATGAATGTTTATTGCAGCATTTACAGGTGAAGCCAAAGTGTCCGGTCCGTCCTAAACAAATTCTTCAGCAGGCGAGCGTTAGGAATCCAGCATCCGTGGAACGGTCGCAGGATATTTCAAGAAGCTCATGGCGCCCCTCAGGGTACAGTCAACGGTCGATGGTTTTGCCTGAGTTCAAACTCACCGACAGCGTTGAATGTTCACTGTGGACACCGACACAGATTATGGACCTCGCCGTTGCTGTTTGATTGATGGCAGATGTTTCACTGGCCGAACAACTTAAACACACACAAACTTTGAGAAAGATCAAAAAGCACAGCACATTTTTTTTCCCTTTCCATTGGTTGCATGGTTCTTATTGTCGCTTCGTTTTGTCTCCGGCAAGTGGAAAATCCCACACTAGTTTGCCGGTTGCCGCCCATACCGCTTGTTTTTTAAAATGTCTGCAGTTCCAGATTTAAATTATGGAGCGTATGTAAATTTGCCACGGTATCAGTTGTTTCTGTGATCTGGCTTCAGCTTTCAGCAGTCGGTTGAAAATTGAAGCCTTCAAACCAAAGTGCTGTTTAACTTTTTGCGTGGGTATTTCTCTTGGCCTGAGTGGGTAAGCCGTGCTCCACCATGTGTTACCACCCATGCTCATGTTGAGGTTTAAATGACGTTGCCGGCAAACCAGAAGGAATGAGGATGATGATGATGATGATGATGATGATGCGGAGGCTTGGATTTCCCTGAAAATAGCTCTTCAGATATGCCAGTAAACTCGTTCATCGTTTTATCTTCATCCCCACCTTCTTCAGAATGATGAGCGGTGCTGTCTTGTCTCGTTCTGCCTGCAGCAAAAAAAAAAAAAAAAAAAGTGGGGGGAGGAAACAAAAGACGGGGAAAACATCTGAAATAGCGTGAATAAAAGGGCAGAACATGTTGTCAGTCTGGCTGGTGGAAGCAGTGGAATTAATGCTTCCAAGTGCGATCAGGGAATGTGGCTGTGCCCCACAGCTTAGTGCACTGCAGTGGTGTGCTAGTTAGAGATTACTGTTCCCTTTACCCTGCGCTGAACCTCAGCTTCTGCTCTGGGAGTGCGCCTTCCTGTGTTCGCTTCTTTGAGGTTGGAAAATCATGCAGCCATGTTTTATTAATGCTCTCAATGTCTGTCTATCTATCAGTGTCTCCGCGACAATGCACTGTCTTCTTCCTCTCCGGCTTGCTTGCTTGGCTGTTGCAACCAGAGAAAGGAATGTAGAACACTGTACTGCGTTTGCCTTTCCATTTTCTTTTTTGTGATGAATTTAGGCTACTTAACCAGTTGGAGGCTTTTTTTTTTTTTCCTCACAATTTTCATTCACAATTGAAACGTTGTTGGTAGCAAGCGTTACAAGTCATTGTTGTCACGAGATTTGTTCCAGCTTTGCAGAGCTGGCTTTCTGATCACTACGATGAAAAATTAGCACGCCGCATAAGAAGCTCTTATGTGCGAGTCTTCACGCAATGTACATCTTCAGCGTGAAGCCATTGCTGAGTGCATTCCATATTACCGCGACCTTTGAAAGAGTTAGTTCTTCTCCACCAAGAAACTGTTTTCATGAGCATGACTGAAGTTTTGTTCCGCGTCGACAAATTCTGGGAAAAGGAGGTTCCCATTAAGTTTAGTGAGAACTGAGAAAGAAAAATGTCACACGTTTGTTTACAGCTTTCGGGTAAAACCTATGGGCCATATTTCTTGTTTTATCTCCACGTTGCTCCTCGTTAGATGCCTCTTAGCCTCAAGAATGCATCTCCCTGCCTTTCCTTGCTCGACGTGTTTCCATTCACAGACAAGTAGGGAATGAATCTTTTTTTTTTTTCTTTTTCAGAGCCCTCTGGCTAAGGGTAAAGTGGCTTCCCTCCTTGGCACTTGGCCTCGTTGGCTGTGTGCCACAGATACACTTGAGTTTCCCCCCCCGCCCCCCATTCTCAAATAGCTCTTCCTCTCATACCGCCTCCACTGCTTTCTTTCGTGTGACCAAACTGGTACGCTAAGTCGCTGCCTTCTAATTGTTAAGCAGGGCAATAGTTCCTTGGAGATGTTAATACTGGCACTGGTGCCATCACCAGAAACTTTGAATAACTGACAAATGTACCAAAGTGTAGCGTGTAAAAATAGCTTGCCGAGCATGAGAGCTTGACAGGGCTTGAGTGAAGAGTGCAACGATGTGACTGAACTAGTGTGAACTCTGCCTCGTCAGCACATTCCAGGGGTTGGACAATGAGAAGCACACAGTGTACCCTGTCGTGTTGCCGGCCGGTCGACAGCCAGGCCTCCGTGCTGCCGTGTTCAAAGCTGGTGTAAATTGAAGCAAGCATGAATGAAGTTATGACTTTGTAAAATGGATTTTGCCTCCTGTGTGAACGTGAAGGTGAAAGACGTGCCATGTTACCGGGTGACAGTGGCACTGTGGCAGAGCTAACATACTGCGGCAATCTGTGTTGATTTAGAGAACTCGCCGGATATCGCTTTGAGCACCACTGACGAGATGAAATACAGTAGCTTACTTTTCTGAAAACAGTAAGTGTATACCTGCGAATATGTTCACCACACCCATAAAACGACACCTCCACATACTCGGAATTAAGACTCGATAGATCAATAACTTCACCTAATAAGGAACTCTCTTTTTTCCTACTGTCTGATTTGCTACAGCAGTGTGAAAACAACAGTTGAAGTTGCCAGTCATGTCATGCAATTTCAAAGAATCTCCAAGGCAATGAAAAGCTACGCGCTCAGAAAGAAGCAGACATGATACAAACATGTTGTCATAACTTGTACACCGAAACACGACCACCGTAGCTGAGATGCCTGCTCCGAAAGACATCGGCTCGGATGCTTACAGCAAATGTACTTGCACACTTTACCATATCATCATTCCACATTTTTTGCACAGTCTTCTCAATCTCAAATCTCAATAACCAGCATTGCGAACGAGCCTCATCATGGCCAACTCAATTCCACAAATTTGCTGTAATTACTGTATCACTCCAAACAGGCTTGAAGCCCGATAGGACGTTTTCTGTCTGCCGTGAAGTAATATAGAAGACATTCACCACTGCGGCAGCATTCAGTTTTACATCCCGTGCTGTCACACTAAGAAATTACAGTCGAATGTGAAGGAATATAAAAGTGCAGATATGAAATGTAAAAGTCAGACTGGAAATCATTTTCAATATTACGGTATCAGATCATTGATTTGCCGGTGTACGGTGATTTTAAATTTGGCAGTAAATTTTAACGGAAGTGCGCGGGGCTTTTTAGTTTGTTGCTTGGTCGGCATGTTTTGTTGATTGATATCGAAATTTGGGGAAGGATTTTTGAGTGGATGTACGTTCCCATTGAATTCTGGTGACGCACATTTGATGAAGTCATTACAAAATGGGCGCACCTTAAAACTACAAAAGCCACTAAAATCACAATCGAGTGGTGCGTCTCCCCCCCCCCCCCACCTGTTCATAAAAACAAAAACAAGGCATAGGAATCTTGAGGGAAGGACTATCTGTTATAATATGAGCTGGATTAGCTATCGTACGCTTTTGCAGTGCTCCATTGTAATCTATGTAACTGTTCCGAGTCAACAATTGAAGACAGTTGCTCACTAGCATGGGTCTTAGGCCAGCCCCGCTCCAGTTGAGGGACGCCTTGTGGCCGACTGCCAAGCCTTTCCAGAATCCCTCAGCCTCCACGTGCCATGGATCACCCTGCCAAGGCTTCAGGCATTCACGAGCAACCTTGACTGGAGCCAACCCAGCCTCTCTCTCCACTGCCAGCTTGCCTCTCAGCATTAACCCGTGACTCTCAATGGGTGACACTTTGCTCAAACGCATCATCCACGCCGTTTCTGACTTACCTTTCCCTGCTTGTCTTTTCCTCAGCTCGTCCTTGTAGCCGCCAGTATTCTTGCATTTGCCTCTGCTGAGCCCCCTGTCTGTTGACTGTTTTTTAAAAAAATATTTTTAAAAATGTATTTTATGTCTCTTAGCTGTGCACCTTTTTGAACACGGTTACAGAAGCACTTGATCGTGTCAATCTGGCTCTCGTTGACTTATCCACTTGTGCGGCGCGCCTGAGAGAACCGCGTTGCGTGTCACACTCCTCGCTCCTCTCCAAAGCTTTGTCGGCTCATTTCATGAATGCTGAGGCTGATGATTATGTACCGCACGCTTTCTCGCTGTAGTTTGGAGAATTTCGAACAAAGTGGGATGAAAGCGCCCTTTTGTGAGTGTCGTCTGAATTTAACCGTGACATTTCTCTGCAGTCCGCAAACATTTTATTTTCAAATCTTCCACAGACTCAGACGTGCAGATTGGCCCCGCCCTGAAATAATATGTTTCAATGTATCTAAAATACGCCCCCCGTCTACTCTAGGCAATATTATCCCAATCGTGATTTAAACATTTTAAAAATAAGTGGGAGACAGAAGGATAAAGCAGACTGCTTGATGAGGACTTTTTCAGCCCACATGCAGTCTGTTCTACTCGACAGCCTAGACGGAGCCTGTGGCTGAAAGTCTTTTTTTGGGCCGAATAACCAAGCGAAAACAGCATTTCGATGCGCGGAGTGGTTTGAGTGAAATAGATAGATGTATATTTTCTTTTGTCCTGTCATCTTTTTCGTATAAGTTTTACTACACAGCCAAAAGCCATTATAGAAGAACCAGCAATACATTAATTAAAACTGTGATGTGGTTGCTCCGGTGCAATTAACTACATATTCAGCATTTTTTGGCGCTGTTCCTGCCTTGTACTACCGACTGAGACGAAACCGTCTCCGATGTTGTTCCGCTGCTCTATGATTCCCATCCACGTTTTGCAAACTGAAGACTTCGCAGCAGTTGGGTGCATTTGGTCATCACCCCATCAGAGGCACTGTGTCCTGAATCAACTGCACTGTGCTTTGTATTCCGGTGACCTGATCAATTAGCTTCATAAAATGAAGATCATCTTTTCTTCCCACTTCTAAAACGCCCGTGGTTTCACGTTCTTTTTTTTCCCCAAAGTGATGGCTAAAAGCGTGACATTGGAAGTAAACCAATACTGCGGTGGTAAAAGTCAGCTAGTTTGGATTCAAACGCCGAGCCCCCTGCATCGAACTTCGATGACTGTTGCGGCCGGTGCTTTTCTGAGTTGCTCAGCGACTTAACCCTCCTCCCTGGCACCTTCCTCCTCTCTTGCCGAGGAAAATCTCTGCTGAATTCATGTCTTCTTTCAGATTTCTAAGAGGCGTTAAACCTTTCTGGATTAAAGGAGGTAATCTGACAGGCAGAAGATTGTATTAGCCAGAGTGTTGGCAGAGCTTTTAATTTCTCCTCTCTTTTCATTTCCCCCCTCACAGCCCGTCTCTCCTGCTGACCTGCTAGATGGTATTATTTTGTCTTTCTTTTGAATTACAGAAAAAAAACCCCATCCCCATCCTCACCGCTATTCACGCTCTCTCTCTCTCTCTCTCTCTCTCTCTCTCTCTCTCTCTCTCTCTCTCTCTCTCTCTCTATCCCTCTCTTTTGCTATCTCCCCTCCTATGCTTTCCCCCTACCTCTCGCTCTTCTCGCAGTGACAGCATACTTATGTGAACCCATGATTTATCATTTGCTAATCCGTGCTGATTATGGAGCTTTCCGCACAGTCCTTATCTGTTGCTGAGGCCGCTTTTCACTCCATAGCCGCCAATTATCTTTTAGGCTGCCTGCAAACAGACTTGTCTCTGTCAGCCAGCTGCAGAACTGCCACCAAACCGCTTACGTTTTATATAAAGGACACATGGCGTGGATCTCCAACAACTGGCGCCGCGGATGGTTGAAGTGAAGGCATTTTTGATTTGCGTACTTATTGAGATAATTGATGGGTACTGTATTTCCAATTCTCTCTCTTTTGTACTACTAATCTGCTCTTAATCATCTCAAACCTCCATTGTGCATCTTTTTTACAGACTGTAGGGCCATGAAGAAGAGTACTCATCTTCCCTCGTTAACACAGGAGGGGGGAAATAAATGGCCAGTTCTGTCAGGCCAAGTTTTTTTAATTGTTATTTTAGGTTTAAATGCTGCTTGGCGCTACACCCAAGAAGAGGGGTTATTGTTGCGCTTCCAGGTATTCGCCATGACATGACATGACTTGAAGTTTAGATTTGTTAGCGTCAAGTCTAACATTTTGCTTGCGTGACCAATCCTCCACTTTGGTCTGACAGCCGCAGTGGAACTGCCTCACTCTGACTCACGCCACACTTCTTGAAGCCAAGGTTAGTGACAACATGAGGTTACGGCGAGCCAGGCTACGCCTGTGGGGAGGGTATGCAGATGATGGTGCACTCAGCTGATGTGCCGTTCAATTGTCAGAATAATGGGAAGTGACGTGCACATCACAGCAATGTGGGTCAGAGCGCCAGACGACCGGCCCGCGGCCTCTCTCTGCTTTATTAGGCAGGCAATGTCTAATCTGCTGTCGCTCGACCAGACGAAATTCTCTAATCGACCCTGATATTCACTGAACACACATTACCATCTTCCCTCATGCTCAGAAGCTCACTTCTAGCACGGAGGGGCTTGTCTATTTGTCATGCAAAAGATTCAAATGTTGAATGTGAAGTTATTGTTAAATCAACCAAAACACTAAGCTACTATATGTGCTGTTTTGTTTAAAAGATGCGCATGAGCATTTTGGCACTTGTATATACGATTTGAGTCCACTTTGCTACCGTGTGTGTGTGTGTGTGTGTGTATATGTGTGTATATATATATATACGTTTTTTTTTCTTGCAACGTGGACTGGATTCAGATTTTTCAGCAGGCGAAAATGGGTCGGATCAACTGAGCTTAATAGGATTCCCATGACATGGTCAGAGGCTGCTGTCTGCAGGGGAAGAAAAAGCCGGGAATGGAAAGGTTCAAATGTAAGGACGGTTGGGAGTGGGGAGGGGGGAAGCAAACTTTTGCGAGTGTTTATTTAGCACCTGTACAAGTCCATTGCAGCCAGAGAAAAGTGACACATGCGGGCCTTGAAGAGGTTCTGGCATTTTCTGCTCAAACAGGTTTTTTTTTTTTTTTTATGGTAGGGGGAAGATGCCTCGAGGAGTTCAGTCTCTGCGAATCTGCCACAGCCTCATCAAAGGCAGTAATTTCCTGTTCATTTCTGGCTCCCATCCCCCCAACTCTGAGCTCTTGTCTGCTAATCCCACCCCTGCACACAACCCCCACTTCCACCCCCTCCCAATCCCCACCCTGGGCCCCCCTGCTGCTGTCCTGCCTGCCTGTGCTTCAGCTTGCTGCACTCTCAGTCTGAGGACTGCGGTGGGAGGCTATATGCTTTGTGTCCGGGGCTTGCAGTTCAGTTGAGCACTAACAAATCCTCATTGTCCCATGCAAGAGTGGTGTCAGAGGAGACCGTCGTTTGTGTGTGCGTGCGTGTTGTGTTTTGGTGGGAGGGAGGGGGGGTTGCCTTGCTGTCTGGTTTCTATTCAAATCCAGGTACACGCAGGCCTGGGAGGGAACAAAGCATGTCGAGGGGCTTATAGAGTGTCAAGCATGGGACCAAAGTCCTTCGAGGGCTCAGCTGAGACCAGGCAGGGCTGAGTTGAAGGGTCATAGGAGCTGCTTACACAACTGCTGCCCTCTCTGAACTGAGCACACTACATTAGCTCTGCCAGTGATGCTGGGGCTGGGGGGGTCCCATCTTCTGAGGCACCGTCAGCCAGTCACAGTCAATATCCAAAACACTTAGCTGACGGTGGGAACCCAAATGAAGAATTAACCTTGACAAGAGTTTGTCAATGACAAAATGTAGTCTTGTGAAGTGCCTACATTTCAAAATACAATCACTGTATTACTTGACCGGTTTGTGAAGAAAATATTTTTCCCCAATTTTTTTTTCCCAGTAGTAGCTAACAAAAGGCGACTTTGAAGTTTGAGTCAAGCTGCCGCTGAAAACGGGTCTGTGGACTAAGATGTGTATCAGGATGGCAAGACTCTACATGTACAGGTATTTTATTTGGCTTTCAACTAGAAGGTTGGCGCACACACGTAGCTTTCTTATACCATGACTTGTTTTTCCACGGATTGTTGTTCTTGTGCCGGCATTAAGCCTTTGTAGTTTTGCAGCAGTCTCGTGTACATCTGTCGGCTGTCGGGATGTTTTTGTTGTTGTCATTACTCTCTTATGCACTCAAGCTTTTGCAGTGGATTAAGAGCTTTGCACAAGAGCAGCCCAGGACGAAAAAAAAAAGGCAACATCGGAAAAACCATCGCTTCCTGTCACAAAATACATTCCAATGATTCCCCATGTGAGTTGATGGGGGAAAACCAAGGAAAAAGGAACTAAAGCCTGTGCGAAAAGAGACATTCTCTTCTATTGGTCATCTATATTTAAACACCTCTAAATTTAGACTTCCTATTCTGCATTTCCGTCTTCTTGTATGCAGATTTGGAAACAGAGGCAAAGAATCCGTTTTTCAATATGAACCCTCATTGTTTCACACACTGAAAGGGTTTACGCCAATGATGGAAGGAAATAAATCTTATCTCCTTCAGCTGGCGTGCAAAGCAAGTTGGAGAGGCGGGGAGACCACTTTGAGAATCCCAAAATTAAAGGGAAGGTCTTTCACCCTTCTCGATCACCACTGGCCGGGGATCCCCTCCCATTGCGGCAGCAGCTGGCTGCCTGGTCTCCTCCGCTTTAGCCTCTAATGGCTGACCTACCCTGTCTGGGCTGCCCCGCTCGCTTTTGTCTTCTGTCTGGCTCAGTTCCTCCCAGTCAAACATAGCTACTGCCGGCTGCAGTCTACATTCCCACAGAGCAAACACTCAATCTCACACACATACACGCGCTCTCACACACACACACACACACACACACACACACACACACACACACACACACACACACACACACACACACACACTCGGCACACTTTGTCCAGCACACACAATCTCTGTCTCGGTTGCTCTCTTTCACATACATTCTTCTCAAAGTTCTCCCACACACAGAGTTTCTGACTGCTTTTGATCACACACACACACACACACACACACACACACACACACACACACACACACACACACACGCGCAGACACACACACACACACACACACGCACACAAACTCATACATTTTCACGCATATTAGGATCCCCACATGCCACTGTGCTAGCTGGAAGTAAATCAGTTAAAACTATTCATTTGGCACACGAGTCGTTTAAGAAACGGCGGTTGAAATTTCAGTGAAAGCTGAAACATTCTACAGTGAAGTCAGGGAAATAATGAACACATGCCAAAGTGCTAAAGACATGCATTATCAGTAAGCTTTTTAAGCGAAAAGAGAAGGTCAATCAGTTCAAATACTTACCGGCAACGGGACCAAAAGTTGGACAACAGCAATGTATTGTGGCTGGATAGTAGAAATGGGGCAACACTTCCATAGTCAGGCATGAAATATTAAACCGGCCTATGTGGGTGAAATGGATTGAATGCGTCCTCTCTCTGCCTGTTTGTCTCACCCAGACACATGTACAAGCACACAGTGGCGCACAATCCTGACATGCACTCTTTCAGTCCGATCTTCCTGCCGCCAGTGGGACCTCAGCCAGGAGTTTGCAAATACAAGTGGCTCACAAATATCTCTCTCTCTCTCTCTCTCTCTCTCTCTCTCTCCCTCTCTCCCTCACTCAAGCCCTCCCTCTCTCCCTCTCGCGCCTTCTGCACAGCTTCATAGATAAACAAGAAACCACATTCCCACATGCATCCACCCCCCACTCTGCACAAACACACTCTGCACACTCACGTGCACGCTCGCACGTACACGCTCACACACACAGAGGTACACACACACTAGCAACCGTACACACAAACACACCCGCAAAAAGACAAGGCACAAGTTTGGAAACTGTTTAACATTTTCGTGCATGCACTATATATGAGGCTTTTGATGGACAGCAGCACATAGTGTCATGTGTGGAGCGAGGCTGTCTGGGATTGGCTGGAGGTTCGGGAGCGGAGGGGGAGCACAGGGTGCTGTGATTGGTTTGCGCTCACACCATTAAAAGGAGAATGCTTCTCTATTGAATCGCAGCCAGCATGGGCGGAGTCTTTGTGATACGGCTCTGGAAGAAAAAGGGGGGAAAAAAAACATCCAGAGAGACATATGATTCAAAGTATGATCTGACGACAGAAAAACAACTTGTGCAGATCGACAATTCATTTCAAGAGAAAAGCAGGGTACACCCTGAACTCGGGAAATTAACCCAACAAGCACTTTTTGGGGGGTGTGGTGGGAGGCAGGCAGAACTCCTTGAGCAAACCCAGGCCCGCATGGAATCTCCACACTGAGAAATGTATTTTTCTCACTTTCTTCATTTATTTTATTTCCAAATGGTTTAAAATAAACCACACATACTCCAGTTTCTCACTCATACATTAGACGTACCCCAAAAATTGGCTCTCAGAAGCTGTCTTTCCTTTGCGCTCCTGTTGCCAGTACTATGCAGGTGTCTGCCCCAATTTGCTGCTATGCATGCTCGAAAACCGAAGTATAATCGCTACAGCAATCTGATGGATTGGGATTTCCTGTGTTCAAACACATATTTGATAGTGTAGAGAAGTTCTCCGACCATGCTAATATTTTCGTCTGCCAACCCTCGAGCCTTCGTCAGAGCCGTCACCAGGTTCACAAATCCCTCTCGCATGATCACGTGATCTCATGAAACCGAAGAACAGAATTTGCCGGATATGCACCGATAATTGCCGATCTATACCAAGTGTGTGAGGCGGTAGCGTTGTCAAATGGCTATGTAGTGAAAAAGACTTGCTTTTGCAAAATATTTCTCTCCCTCTGGGGAACCAGTTTTTATCCACCTTATTCCTGGGTGCTCTGATGTAGAAACGATGGTGAGCGCAACTTCCTGGGAGACGCCGCAAGTAGCAGTGAGCCGTTTGTTCCAGCAACACATTTGTATGGTTTTTGTTTCCTTTTGTAAATGATCATCAGCCTCAGTAGCGTCTGAAAATGCCTCGCGCAGCTTGGGAACTTGTCGAAACGTTTGTGGTTGAACTGAAACCCTCATAGAAGTTCACCTTGTGTCTACAAGAGCAATGTTTTCAGCATGCACCCTGGACAAAGAGAGAATGTTATGTAAAAGACTACAGTTTTCCACTGATGACGAACACCGAAGAATTGTGTGAAAATTTGAAACGACCACCTAAACGGTGTACGTGTGCTCCTTGTGGACAAAAAGCCCGTGGTTCAACATGCAGATACTTTGGTGGTTTAGTCAGGCAACAGTTCACATGTGGTATACGTTTGGTTTGTTGAAAAGTATCAATGAATTTCAGAATAACCGTCATACACTGTTCAACGATACAGTATTTTACTTATAAAATTAATCAGTGTTGCATTTATGATGTACTAGGTTGTCTGTTTTTTTGGAGCACATACTTGGTGGTACAGTTGCCATGCAGTTAGAAATAATGGTGTTGATGTCCATTTTAAGTGTTTGGCTGGGTCCTACATCTGCTTTAAGCTAAATAAGACTGTGTCGAACATCTTTTAACAAAACGCGACAAACTTTACTGTTTTGTGGCAACAGTTACGCCTCAGAGCTTTTGAGATTGCTCAATGCCTTATCGACCGAAGTTCAGAAAGTAGCTTAACATGTGACTGCATGTTGTCACTGGTCACTTTTTTGTTTCATCCTCCAACCCTGCTACATTTAGTAAGAAGCGATGGACTGTAATATTTTCTCTTTTATTCTTTGAAACAGTAATTCATGCCTTTATCACATCCAGGCTGGGTTACTGTAATCTACTTTACTTTGGAGTCGGCCAATACTCCATTCAGTGTCTCCAGTTGGTCCAGAATGCTGCTGCTCACCTCTTGACTGGTACCTGTAAGAGGGAGCACATAACTCCTACACTTCTTTTTCAGATCCTATTATTTGTTTTCAAATCTTTGTTATTAACTTATTGCTTTATTGTTTGTTATTGTATATCTTATCTATCTATATATGATCTTTGCTCGATGTACAGCACTTTGTGCACATCGGTGGTTGTTTTAAAGTGCTCTATGAATACAGTTGAGTTGACTTGAGAATAATTGCCGTTCCCACATGATTTAAGTCTGTAACCTTCATAGAATGCAGACTGGCACAAACAGTTAGCACGTAAACAAAATGTCTGTTCCAGTTCATACTGGAAATCGCACTAATAATTCACGCACGAAATAGGAAAGACATGTTTGTTTTTATTTACAGCCGTTTTTTTGTTCATTGCCCCGACCCATTTGGGAACAGATGCACTCATGAGGTCATCATGATGCTTGGTGAGCTGTGAAAACTATATGATTGAAGCAACATTTGTTACATGAAACATTACATTGCATTTTGGAATGAGTACACTTTTTTCATAACTCTGAGCTACCGGTAAGCTATATCTATACAACCTGACACATGTTCCCAATTTCACTTGTACTCATGCATAGCATGCAACCCTATGTATGTGTTGTATGTGGGTATTTGGCCATAGTGACGAGCCATTATCACACTGTCTGGACAATGGTTCCAAATAGCAGGTGTATTCTCTTCGGTTTGTCACAATTTATAACTAAATAAATCAACATATTTACAGTACACAAGGCTCATGATATCATCAAACCACTTTATGAATATTTTATGTACAAATTGGGATAATTTGTAGCTTGATAATTTCATTGGTGTGCGTCAGTGTGTACCGTACTGTAATTGTCTTAAATCATACAAGGATGTCATCACTGTCTTTAGTAACCATCCATCAACAATTTCGAGTCTCCAATTACATAACCTAACATGCATTTTTCAGAGTGTGAGAGAAATCCAGAGTACCCGGAGAAATGTCACCTCTGCTTCTCGTATCCTATCAGATCAGTACATTCAGTGACAAAAGAAAAATACTGTTTTGCAAATTTAGTCGAAAGAAATTCAGAAATACGTGCTACCGTGACACTCGGTGATAATTTTACAGTTTACCGCCAGCGAGTCCCAGGGACTCGCTGATCAGAAAAGTATGAGTCCCATTATGCATTTAGAGAGTCCCAATTTTCGAATTCTGAGATGGTCTACTTATTCAATTGCATTTGATAATGACACAAACAACAACATATACATACAATTCTAAAGAAATGCTGCAAAAATTTAAATAATTCAGTAGCAGGCCTGAGGATTTCGGAAATTTTTTCAGTTCCGTCAGATTACCCAATGGGAAACCACGGTAACTAATTTTGGGTTCCGTAAACGTTCATCATGGGAACCCATTTTTCTATTTTGACTGATATTCATAATCAAGAATTCTGAAACTCGAAAGTATGTTTCAAGGGTAAATGTTTGAAAACTATGCATTAACAATGAACATAACATCAGCAGCTGTGTACTCCAGGTTTATTCAAAAAAATACATGGATCAAAATATGATGTACTCATATGGCATCATGAATACAGCATACCACAAAATCAGAGTATTTTTTCCAATCTCACACTGCAAAGATTAATTTACTGGTAATCATTAATTGATGTGGCTTGACATCCTCTTCCCAAGACATTTTTTTTATTATTTTTTTTTTATTAAGTCAGGACTCTTCCCAAGACGATGCATGTGTAATCTACTATCAATTTGACAAAAGAATCTACCACACGTCATCGTTAGTTCTACTGACAGTTAACATTAGCATTACTATACCTTGTGACGAATGTTTTATTCATAAAGTTACCATACTACAACCAGTAAATTATAGAATAACCAAGACTGTTTCATAATATTTTTCATAGCGATTAGCCTATAGA